CAATAATAATCTGATTTAATTAAAGGGCTAAAATCTGTTATATTTGTAAACTGTAAAATGTAGTAAAGAAACAATATTGTTTTCGGAAGGCGGGCAAGACGACTCATACATATTAATTCAGTCAGTAATGTTTCCATATATCCCAAAATAAAAAGGTAAAAAGTTACGACTCAAATGTTTCTCTTTTTATCGCTATTAAAATTTATAGCATATACACTGTTACAGATTAACTTATTGTATAATGGCTGTTGTTTAGTTGATCAATGTATTGTGAGTGTACTGTTAATATTGCATATATACACATGAGTATTTAAAAGGTCAATTATAAGTCTGTTTGTTCGTAATTATGCACAAAGCTACACAATGGGCTATCTGTGCTCTGCCCATCACGGGTATCGAAATTCGGATTCTAGCGTTGTAACTCCGCAGACATACCGCTGTGCCACTGGGGGGGGGGGCAATTATAAGTCAGAAGTGTAGTTATTCTTGTGGATTAGGTGTATGTTTAGGTACAAATGACAGGTTGCATTTCTGCGTTGCCATTATTGGATTAACATGCACGATGTATATGTATTAGTGCTTTTCTTTGTGTATATTTTAAATATATTTTGATATTACATGGGCTGACTTAAACTGAAGGACGTCTTATAAAATCAGAAATTTTCCGATCGTTCACGGGTTTGTGTTGTTCATTTAACTTGTTTTTAAGATCACTAAGCTCATGTCTGGAACAAGCTGTCATTTCTGCGAAACCGGTAACAGAAGATAAATAAAAAAACATTGGGCATTTCACAAAACTGGTTTAAGCATGTCTACAATTGCTGAATTATCACGTAAACAACTTTTTCATGTGAAATATTTTACAGGTTATTGAAGTATATAATCAAAAACTTGAAAGCAAACGTAATAGACGCATTATTGCTTCAAGTGCTTTAATTTTAACTTCTATATAAAAGACTGCTCGATTATTTTATGTTTTAACTTTCCCTTGAGTAGTCTATGGACTTTACTGCTTCCCAGTGCTTAATTTCTAGATAAAAAGAGTACCTGTTGCACATGCACCTAACTTTGTTAAAAGTGAAGTCGGCAAGTGTAAGGAAGAACTGAAGAGCGAACAAGGCGAGAAAAGTTTTTGCTAAAAATATTGAAAGAAGAATGGCACGTGTCCCTTCTGCTCACCTGGTTAGTCGTCTATGCCCTATTGACTGGTAGAGAGGGGAAATCTTTATTTTTGGAAGGTAACAGTGTGAATGTTATTGAGACTACTACTGGAGAATAGTAATGTGGTTGACTACTTCAGTTAAATATCAATTCAAAATGCAACTGAGATAGTCTTAACCTTGATTTATACCGTGTCAATAAATCAATCCAAAACAGGTACCAGATCTCAGGCCCGAGAGAAAGAAATTAAGCACTACACTGCACCTTTTATAGAATCTGTGTTATTACGGTCATTGCAAAATAACTTGTGTGACCCTTTAAGTTTCATTTCTATGGGGTCAAACAAAAATGTATTTTCGACGTCACCCTTAAACCATATGTTTGGTTGAGATGCGTCGTAGCCGCTGGTGAGTATTTTCCAATCCAAAGCAAAAAAATACGTCAAGATGAACTTATATAAAAATGCTTTTTTTTATTAATTATTATCGTTATTACAATTAATTATACTTGTCACAAGATAGTAGTATTGGGCATATTATATTTTCTAACATTTCATTCTTAATTTAGTATATCAGGGTTTTTCTAAGAGTAAGAAGACTGTATAATAGTATTCCAATGTCAGGGGCGGCGCGTATAAGAGGCCTGGAAAGGCTTAGCTTCCTCAAATATATTGTCCCTTACAGAGCATTATTATAACTAACTTAAAAATATTATACATTAGAACAAAAGACTCACGCGCCGCCTATACAATATGTCCACCATATCCATTGCTTAGAAAAGGCGTTCACACCATAACAATTGATGTTGTAAAAAACGACTTATATAAATAGTGTTTCAACCGCTAATATGTTTCTTGTGTCCTAGCCGGCCTGGTGATTTCTGTATTAAGCGAAACGCGTCGTCGGCAGTGGATTATGGCAGGCCTAGTTTCATTGAAATATTATTATATACTCTTCTTCTTCTTGAAAAAATACTAAGGAACTGAATAAAGATCGTAGAGTTAAAAACTATAATAGGCCTAATACTAATACTTATGACAAGTATAATTAATTATATTGTTATTATAATTGTATTAAAGTTTCTCATTAGGATCCATCAAAATCTACTGTGCATTGTATGCATGTCGAGTGCCAAAGCAGAACCTTTCTAGTGTAGTTTGGCTACACTTTGCAGCTTCATTTTCTGAGATATTTTGTTGATGAATAGTTATAGGTTTGTTTGTTTTTTGATTCTTTAAAAATACATTTCAAGAGTTCCGATGTTTGTTTTTCAGTTCTATGTAATCTTAAAGCTGATGAATTAAGTCTAAATTGCAACAGATTCAGCAAACTAATATACGTATCTGTTAAACATATTCGTTTCACTTCAGTTTGGACGTAGACGAATCCTTTCCCATGTAGTAAGTCTGGAGTGCAATAATTATTATCTCTTTTTTTGTCTTTATTTTCCTACTGGACCTGATATTTGAAGAGACATACACACATATAACATGTTGGTTATTCATTTCGAATTATATATGTTTGTTATTGTTCTTTTAGTGCAAAGCTATACAATGGGCCATCTGCACTGTAAGTTATAAGTTAATAAAGGTAGGACTACTTCGCAGGAAGACATTATACATGGAAGTTTCTGTATGTTTTTGGAACTTTACGAATCTAGGAACGACACACCCGCTATAGCTTCTGGCTGTTTGTGAATCTACCTTTCACCATTCATCATTAGTGGGACCGGGCATGGCCTGGTGGGTATCGTGTCGGGCTATGGCACGAAAGATCCAGGGTTCGAGACGTGATTTTGTTGAACACGCTCCACACTTTTAATTGTGAGGGCATTATAAAAGTTGCAGTCAATCCTGTAATTTGGGTAAAGAGCTGTGGAAAGCCTTTATAGCGACGGATGCTACTAAACTGTCACCTTTCCAATGAACAGTATTATACCTCAAAATTAGGGACAGATATATGCGAATCATAAGGGTCTGACATGGTTATTTAGCTCATTTGCGCATAAGTGTCGTTCAGGTTTAAAGTTCCAAATCATCATTAAGGAAACAAAATAAACGATTTCACATGCGTATAACACGTGTTAAAGTAACTAAGTAATATGTTGATGTAGCGGTGCATACGCAGTAGCATTTCACTTTAAAGACTGTACATTGACAAATTGTTTTCTGC